TCCAAACTTGGCACAGTTATTGGCCTTGCTACAGCATACCAAATGACCGAAACTTTTTAAAATCGGACAATAACCACGCTCACATCCCATTTAACGGTAATTTAGAGAAATACGAAATCTTCGATAAATCAGTAAATATTAAAGCTAATTTATTCAAAATTGATGCTTGCAACAATTCTTTACCAAGAAATACATTTATGATACAATTTTGGAAAATGGGCGTGGCACCGCCCACTTATGTTTACATATATGTATCTCGGTAACCGTTCTTCGGTATGGTTATTGTGCTTGCCACATAAAAGCAAAACATTGAGAATTTTTTAAATCGAACTAAACTTACGGCCGCTTTTCATATAACGGTATATTTCAGAAATGATAGAAACTTCAATATTTCGAAATTTAAGGAGGCTAATTTGGGAAAGGTTAAGAACATATATTTAATACCTTGAATGATGTTCGTTCATCCTACCCTTCTCTTTCATCCTTTGAATGAGTTTATTAGCAAAGAAATAAAAAGGGTGAGAAGTACCTTTCCAATGATACCTCATAAGTCTAAATCGGAAGTGTTTGGGATTAGTTATTCAAGTTTTTCTTTACCAATCTTTGAAAAAAGTTAAAAAAAAAGCAGCATCAAAAATATCATTATTACGATTCCCTTCAAATGTTTTTTTTTTAATTTTTTTAAAATGCAAATCTTTTAAGCTTAAACCGTTTTGTCACTTGAGGGGGTTTTTTTTCAAAAAACATCTTTAAGAAACTATTTTTATTCATAAAAAAACTCCATTTTTGGAGGTATTTTCAAATCGGTCCAGCCCACGTTAATCTTAATATTTTTTCGAAATATTTTGGTGGACTTCTTAAAACATAATAGATTTTATAATTCCAAAAACAGTATGTACCTATTTTTTTTGTATGGGGAGTGATGCAGCCGCCGCTTCAATATATGTTTATGTATATATTGAAGCGGCGGCCGCTGTGGTGTAGGGGTTAATAAAATTATAGTTTAAAAAACTAAAACCTCGTTATTATAATTTCCATTTGTACTGTCATCAAGTATGTAGCTTGAGAATAGAAATCGCTGCATCTTATATTACATACATAGTTACAGCTAACAAAAGGGAGGTAAAAAATGTTTTTTTCTTAACAGCGGTCGCCCCTCGGCAGGCAATGACAAAGCTCCGAGTGTATTTCTGCCATGAAAAACTGATTCTTATAAATTTGGAATTTAGATACTCACTTAAACCTATTTATCTTACAAAGTAGGTAAATTAGCTCATGCAATTTTTCATCCACTTAATTCATATGTTCAGTAATAGAATAACGTTATCGGATTTCCGGATTCCGTGACTTGTGCATTTTTTAATTTTCGTGCAATTAGTTTATATGTATGCTTACTGAAATGTGGTCACTCAGATAAAAGCGGAAGTGGAAAAAGCCAGCTTAGAAGCAGTAGTTCCGTTTCTGGAGTGGAGGGATCATTTCATTAAGACTTTATAGAACTCTTGCATGTAGTGTTGGGTTGACAGTTTTTTATTTTTGGGGTTTGTTCACCTACTTTTTCGATTCAACCAACTGTGCTGCGGATGCAAATATTTACACATGTGTTTGGATTGTTAGCACAAAATAATGACTTCACTGAAATTAAACATGTATGTCTTTTTATGATAACATAATAAATAAGTGTTTTCACTGTAGAGCATTCAAGAAATTTTTAGTTGATGTTATGAAATCAGTTGATACTGTGCTGAGAAAGAATTTGCCTTTCCATGACTATAGGCAGCGTTGCCATTTTAGCCGTTTTCCAGCTAGATTTAGCCGGTTTTGATAGCAAATAGCCGGAGAAAATTCGATCTAGCCGGCAGCCGATTTGTTAACCGGTTTGTAAAAAAAAGTTAGCCGTTTTTTGCCAAATTTTCAGGTGCAAAAAGTAAACATGTTGTTCGAAAGCAATAATGCAGACCCAATGAAGATTTTTAATGAACTCAATGTTTTACTTTCGCATCTATGCTCCCTAGTGGTTATTAGCGCGGACCCATTTGATCCTATATGCTCCCCGTTGGAACCATACCTTGCTCCATTTCCTCACTTTTATCACAGTTTTGAAGAGTATTTAAAAACCAAAGTAAGCACAAACGCTTTTGACCACGAAGCCGAGAAAATAATTCGAGAAAATGGTCGCTATTTTATTATCACTTTAATAAAGTAATTACGCCAACGCCTCCCTACAAATATTGCCACACTAAAAAAATTGACTTTTTTCAGTTGGAAATGCATTAAGAGTAATTAAACCAAAAGTATTTGTTCAACTATAGCAACAAAAACACAAATATAATGCCGACGAAATAACATCCATAGAGATGCAATGGCAACGGTTAACGTTACATACCTGGAGTAATTTAGACTCAACTGTAAAATTTTGGGCCGAAGTTTATCAATTTCGAAATGCCCTAGGAGAAAACCCTTTCGCTGACCTTTGCAACCTAGTTTTTAGTTTTCTTGTTTTGCCTATAAGTAATGCAGAAGTAGAGCGAATATTTAGTTCAATGAATATAATAAAAACTAAGCAAAGAAATCCAATGTGCGTTAAAACGTTAAACGCTATTTTATATATAAGATACGGTTTAAAACGTGAAGAAAAATGCTGCCATAATTTTACTGTAGATGACGATCTCTTAAAATTAATGAATTCAGGTGATATATACAATAGTGATTCATTTGATGATGAGGAATATACACTCGATATAAATTAATGGTGTTAACTAGTCTTTCGTTTCTTGCGATTTATTTAAATAAAGCATGTGAATTTTCACTAAAACATTTTAGCCGTTTTTTGCCAGAGTCTATGTGAAATTTCACTAAAACATTTTAGCCGTTTTTAGCCGCTTTTTTTTGCCAATCTAACCGGTCGGCCTAAAAAGTTCTGGCAACACTGACTATAGGTGAGGTAATTTCCTCTAATGTTACGGTATTTATCTATGCCAGGGCCGGCCGCAGGATTTATGTAAAGTCATTCGTAACAACCCATCATTTTATTTAGACTATTCAGCATATTGTATTTTAATATAATTCAGTATAACTCAAAAAAAAAATCACATGCAATTCACCGAGGTAAAGATAGAAATTGCGATGAGTATTTAGAAAAGCTATCCCATTGTGTGCTCGTTCTCTACCCATGCCTGCCCATGCATAATGATATTCATTTAATGATTTTGCAAACTTATAACTCAATAGGGGCGAAGGGTATCTATCATACAAAACTCAAAGAAAAATTTCCGTAGAAAAAACGAAAACTGAATTTTTGTAATGGATACCACAGCCCAACAAAAATAGAAAAACGGAAAATGTTAATGATGAAATGATAGACTTTTTGTGCTGATTACGTAAGCATAAAGTTTCCACCAGCTCCAGATTTTGAAAAAAAACGACGTCAAAGTGCCAAAAAATCGCGTTTTTGCCATATTTTAGGAGCTCTACCAGAGAAATAAAAAGTGATAAAACCTTACTGGCTTAAATTAAAGGTGGAACACTCGACTACTATCTTTGACAATACCACTCCTGCACCCTGAATTGATGGTAGCTTATCGTTTTTTATATAATTTTATTTGTTTTTATTTTATTTTAGAAAAAATGAGGAACAAGTTGAATCAAATATTTGAACGTTTATTATATTTAGGTTTCAAAAAGAAGTGTCATTGACATTGGTTATTATGGTATGTATGTAACGTATCTTTCTCATGATCCCAGAGAATTATAAAAATAATATAATGCTACGAAATTATTAGCACCAATAGCTGACACCTCGAAAATACAAATAAGCCACAATACTCGCTATTGTAATTTTTTTAATTTTGTACGTTTTAAAAAATAAATATTAAGCATTCAAAGTCTACAAAAAATACGTTTTTCGAATAAAAACGTTTAATGTGCAAATGATTTGACATAAAACGTAAGTTTCATAAAGTGCACGCAATCCAATGAATAGTATAATATCTTGTCAAACTCAATAATTGACTGAATTTTTTATATATTCATTGGTTTCCTTTCACAGAGTTCATTTGTGCTTGAATCGCTATTTAAATGAATCTGTGTTTTTTTTTTTTTTTAAATAGGTGAAACTCATCCACAATACCCTTCGTTCCCCTAAATGTAAGGAAAGCCAGTTTTGTCTTCATTAAGCTATTTCAATAAAAAAGTTTTATGGATATCTTAAAATTTGTTATTGTTTTTATGGCTTTTTAACAATTACGAACGTTCGAGGAAACGCGAGTAAACTTTTTGCGGAATTGTACTTAAAACATTATCTTGGTTGAATAAATTAATTTTTCTAAATGAAGCAGGCCTTATTTAATCTGTTTTCGTCGGAAGACCAGCGAGGCGTTGAGACCGCATCGCCTGAAGCCGAGCTTACTCTTGTGAGCAGGGTGCTTATTAGCTTACTCTTTCGCTATTGAAATTTTGCCGAGTGCTTATCTTCCAATTTTGCCCACCGCTGCTTTAAAGCCGGCGAAGTTGGAACGGCCGACCCTACGTTAAAGACCGTACATTTCAATTTTATGAATTTTATGAGTATGAAACTTATAAAAGTCACTGACAAAGAGAGCAGATGAATTTCTTTTATCATGAAACTTTGAGATAGTTTGAGGGGCCCCACCAGCTATTGGCCCCATGGCCTAAAAATTCTAAATCCGGCCTTGTATGTTTTTATCAATATTGTTCTAAACAGAATGTGCTTAAATTCCTTGCGAAGAAAATACATATGTATGTATCAACATGCAAAGGTATTGTTTTAGCATCGGAATTAAGGTAAATTATTTATTTATGATAAATCGGAGTAATAAATAGCAACGCCATTATGTACTAAATCTTAAAATAAAATATTCAAAAGTTGTCAATTATGAAAATTACAAATTCTTCTAAGAAATAAAAACCCAAAATTCGTTGTTAATCAGAAGTAGGAAAAATTAATGACAAAATATTTTTTTTTAATATTTTGATGTTTACGTCGCTTAAAAAGCTTTTAGAAAAACTTAACAGCTGCAGTCTATTAAAATTTGCTGGTGGTTGATGTGGTCGTGGTGGTGGAACGAATTGTCACCTGTTTGACAATCTTTTTACCTAGATTAATCTCGGTACTATTACCATTGCTGTTGGTCACATTGTTGCTATTGTCATTTTTGTAAATTGTGTTTTTGTTGTTACTGCTACCTTCTCCCACCATTAAAGGGCGCCGTGGAGGCATACGCTCGTTGACAGCATCCAATCCTTTCGCTTCTGCGAACGAAGTGATTTGTTGGGTGGCGCCCAGGGTTTGAAGTGCTAAGAGAAGAAATAAAAGTGTGCATCAATTTATTAAAAAATCAAATTTTACGATGACATTTAAGTATGTGATATCCTTACCATTACGTAATGAATCCTTGCCGCCAGATAGTGCTCCTACCGGTAAAGAGCCGGTCGGTGTGAGGCCCTTTAATGCCAATACCGATTCTGATTCTTCCCTATTTAAGCGATAAAAGGCAATGCAATTTAGAAAACGTATTTATGTACATATCGCTAGCTTAGAGTGAAAAGTTGTCAAGTCCACTTTTTATGAAAATTCATATTTTAATACAGGAGGCTAGAGAAATTAAAAATGCCTCCTTTCGAAAAGGATAAATGTACTTATTTTATTTTTTCCTGTTCATATGTAGTAAAAGGAAAATTTGCTAAGTCCCAAAGAAGGCAAAAATAACACGGAATCTTTTAATAAAGATCGAACCATCTGATTCTTTTGGAGCCTTGCTTTTCTTTAAACACGCAAAATGTTGTATTCAAATCTTGCGAAATACTTAAAAAAATGGCCACGCGAAGTTTTTTCTCTTCCCCTGTAAATTTTGTAAAATGGAACTTAGCAACATTTCACTCTAAGCTATCAATATGTATTTAGGTATATTTATTTGTACATATTCATACATACGTATGTATTTATCTATGTAGGTACATATGTATGTACATGTTGTACGTGTGTCTTAATATAATAACAAAATATACCGAATTACCTCAAAACCGAGAAGACACGTGACATTTTGCCAATGGCTCTGATCTTATTACGTATAATTTCTTTACGTAGCGCTGAAACCCCAGACACTGTGGAATAAAGTAAAAAATATAGAAGATATATTTTATTGCTAAGCCAAACCAACGAAAATTTAGCAAACTAATTAAATAATGGCAGATAAGCAAACAGCTAGGCATATTTTTAAGCTGCGCGTTCGAATAATTTCAATTTATTTACATAAATATATATGAGTACAGTGAGTGCCAGCCAAAATGTTTTTCATATATGTAAATAGTTTTGCTAGTTTTTTATAACTTGCACTACTAAAGTGTACTTTGTGTGGAAGAAAGCGTGCAACAAAATCAGTCAAATCAATTTTTTTGTAGAAATTTTATATCTGGCGTACAGCTGAATAGAGCAAAAAATGTACATGCATTTTAACATTAATTTGTGTTTTTTTACGGGTTTCTTGCCAAAATAAACGTGAAAAATTCTGTGAAATTTTATTAAAACAACTTAAGTTATATTAGAAGATTGAACTTTGTATTGAAAAATAACAAGTTTCCCTTGAAAAATTCTGTATTATATTTTATTAAGATTATATTAAAAGTTTATCGTTAAAATATTGTTTGGGAACCCAATGAAATAGTATGGCTTTAAAGTGAAAACGGACCTATCTCCAGATAAGCAGTTTTTATAAAATGTCATATTTATGAAGCGATTATCTGATATTTACAGTTAAAAATATTTAAGTTTGTTAAAAAGTTATATTTCTTAAAACCTTTCTTTTTACAGATCCATTGGGCCAGGGATATTTTATGTTTTTTTACCAATAAAAAATTCTTCTAGCGCATAGGTCTAAAATGAATTTTGAGGCAATTCTGGAGTGTCACCAGGGAAATCCTAAGGAAAAATCCAGGATCCCCTCCCAGATGCGCAGGCGACGAATGGTTTCAAAACCGCATCTATTACTTGCTAAATAAATCTGGTGTGAATTACACAGGCTAATATCCACCACTGTAAGGCTGACTCAGCCGCACTTCTCCTCTGTCATAAAACAGCGGGTTTGTGGACTAATAATGTATGGATATAAACTGGTTTATGTCACCGATAAATGTAAACCCAGGTTTTGATACAGTTTAGCGATGCGGACAACGTCTTAATAGCGGATCCGGTGGAAGATCAATTCGGTTGGCTCCCACACACATGGCGCCCGACGCAGAAACACAACCTCCACCCCAATCTTTGAGGAATATGGTAGCTTGACATTACATGTGGCAATTAACAGGACGAAAACTTTTAAATGAATGGAGAGTCTCTAAAGACAACTTCTTTTCAGACCACATGTATGCCGTTTATAACCTATCCGTACCGATAAAGAAACAATTGAGTGGTTCACAAGGTGTCGCATAAATAAATGTTTAGAGGACTTAAAATCACCACCAACTATCTTCTAGCGGCGGGAAATTTCATAATAAAACTTTTGTGTTAGCTTGCGAATTCCTTAAATATAGTTTTAGCTGTTTAAAGATTATGACATACAACAGTCCGACAGTATACAGCACTTTGTGAACTCCCTAAATATGTCTCAAATCGTAGGAAAGCAGATTGGATACAGTTTAAAACAACCGTTTCTAACAGCGGATGCGAATGCGGATGTCAAGTATTTTAAGAAAAAATTAGGTGAGTACATTAGGTGATTTAGGTAAATGAAAAATTAGTAATTTTTAATAATCTTTTTTTTTATTTATTTATTTAGTACTTAAATTAAAAATTTGCAACTTTGTATTTAATAAAGAGTAATTTTGATGCCTTTTCGGGTTCCAGCCTATTTCTTAAAGGGTCGTAAATCAAACTTGCGCCACTAAATAACTACTCGCTCGAGGCGACAAAATTGAAGAACTTGAAACTTGGAAAAGTTGTAAATTACTTTCGATTGAGAGGACTTTCAGTTATATTTCTTTTTTATTGTGGTGCAATAATTCCTTTTTGAGGATTGCATCGGGGCTGTCGAATATATGAAACTTTCATCTTCTCAATCTAGCATCATGGCAAGATCGTTGTTTAAACACCGCTGTTTTCCAATTTTGAGAACCAACTCTTTATTTGTTTCAGAATTTGGAAAACCTGTTACGTCTTCAGCGTGTTTCGATTTTAGTTTTTGTAAGTCATTTTTAATCCTGTCTTCTGTGACTGGTTTGAAAAATGTGTGCTTATAGCGAGGTTCTAAATAGGTGGATATGGCAAATAAATTGTTATTTTCTAGGAATGAAAATTTCGGAGAAAATTTATTTTGAAATCGTGGCTGCCAACCAAATTACATAGTTATATTTCTTGTTATTTTGTTGAAGAGGCACCCCGTTTTTACAATTATTTGAATTATTGGAATCACGGACGATGAAGGTCTCAGATCTGTTTAGTTCTCGGGTGACTTCTTGGAAAAGTTCACCTGTAATGAATAGCTTTTAATTAATTTTTATTTATTAGCTGAGCTCGACTTTTCCTAGTTACAGGCAGTCACAATTAATTACTCACCGCTGTCGGTAACACAAACCATCAAATCCGTTTTGTTGTTCCATTCTATGAGCTCAATGTGCTTTGATACCTTGAGGCAATTCAACACAAATTTTCAACACATCGTTAATATAGTATGGGTAGGGCGTATTTCACTTTATCGCTGAAATGCAAAAAAGCCACAACCAGCTAAAATTTTTTATTGCATAAAACGATGTGGGGACTTATGATTCGATGAAATGCATCATAACCAATCAAAAAGTGAATTTTGGATTTTTAGTTAGTTACGGCTTTTTGTATTTCAGCGAGGATGTGAATTTAGCCCTTTACATACTATACTAACGATATATTACATGCCAAGTCCCACTCCTCAATAGATATAAAATTCACCTTGAATGATTAGTTTTTTGATTTTGGCCGTTTTATTATAATTTATAAATTCACCTTGAATTAATTCTTATTTAATTTGTGAACTTGGCTGTCAACTTATTTACATATAATTTTGACAATTTACACAAAATTAAAATAGAAGTTTTTGTTTTCGAGCTGGAAGACTAATATTTAAGAGGAAACACGGAACTTAAGTATAATAAGTTTTATGAGAAAAAAATAATTAAACTTTTTTAAGAAAAAGTAGAAAAATACTAGCGATGCATCCAGTTTTTTCAACTGACCTTTGTCAAATAATATTCGATAGTTACATAATTCTTACCTAATTGAAGGCTATCTTTTAACGTACAAATATTCGATTCTCTTTATAGCTAGACGTTGAACATTTCCGCTGGAAATACCTTTTAAAGGATCTTACTCTTTGACATTGGGGGACAATTTTAAAGTAGCATCTCCACAAGAAAAAATGTTGGCTACAATTCGTCATTTTGTTCACCAGATATACGTTTTGTCAGTGCACTTGCACAATATTCGCATTCGCAAAAGCTCCGCATTGATTATTGCGAATGCGAAAGCGAATGCGAATGTTAAAATTAATGCGGAAGCTCCGCAGTTGCGAATGCGAATATTCGCAACAACCCTGCTGCAAACCACTCCAAACATCGGTGCAGTTCGGTTCAGTGGTTCGGACCACTTAGAAGGAGCTTGTACCGGTACAAGAACTAGTCCACGAGAATCCCTGAACCGCGGCTCGGTTCGGTTCAAGTGGTTCAATATCAAATATTAATTAAGTTTGGGAACATTGTTTACTTGTGTTTTTATAACAAAATAAACCATATTTTGTTGTAAAATTTATGTGCTTTTTGAAAAAGTTTTTTAAATAATATATTCTACTAGTGCATCAGAAGAGAATATTGGTGATATTGGTGCATTTTTGAGTGTGCAATTGCTCGTAAGAAAGAGCAATATTCCAAAAAATTGTTTTGCTAATAACTTTTACACGGTTAACAATATTAACAATGGTACCCCTCCTGACATTTTTCTTGCAAGTTGTACCTTAAGCTAGAGAATTACCGAGTTACTTTTTACATGTACACCAGTTGTGCACTACGTAAACATTACACAAAAATTTATAAAATGTGCAATAACGCCATCCTGAGAAACAAGACCATACGAAAAATGCCGCCTTATTTCTCAATGTGGAGTGAAATAAAGCCATATGGCATTATTTCTTATGGCTTTATTGCACAGCGCCTATCGAACATGTTCGTTCACATAATGGGTTAACGTTCCTCGTAGAAGCCGAACTAGATGATATTTTTTTGCTAGAACGTCGACGGCTGAGTGGAAGATCGACCTATATTGGCAGCCGCTTCGAAAACTTTGCAACAACGCTCTATTTCGGAATTTGGTAGAAGAACGCCTTATTTAAGAATTTTGTTGAAAAACGCCCCTTCTCAGAATTTGGTTGAAGGACGCCCTGTCTCAACTAAAAGTATGTTGGAAATATATATGATAGGGAGTTTTTGACTCGGCAGCTGAGGTTGAGCGTTTCTGAACCGAATTCTGAAATAGGGCGTTTTTCAATCAAATTTTGAGAAAGCGCGTTCTTCAACTAAATTCTGAAATACGACGTTCTTGAAAAGTTTTCTGAGATAGGGAGTTTTCTAACTGGCTGCCGAGATAAATCGATTTTCCACTCAGTCGTCGATATGTACTATTTTTCTTCAGCGTCAGTTGCAAAACGAAAAATAAAATGAGTAATCGATGCCATTTTGGAAAGAAGGCTGTAAACGTTTTTCGCGATTCACATCGACATCGTCAATTTTTTTCGAAAGACTCAAAAATACATACTTTTTTGTTGTCCCAAAAAAAAAACTACATTTTTGCTGGCCGAAAAAAAAAACATTTTTTGTTGACGTATTTTTTCCAGCGTCATTATTTTGCAAGTTAATAAAAAATTTGTGATACAATTGTTTATCACTTTTCGACAGTATATTTCCCTAAAACCATTTATAGAATGAAAATAATACCCTTTCAATCACAATTATGGAAAATACAGCATAAAAGATTAGAGTAGGGTTAAGCATTACGGTACATTGTATTGTGTTTGAAACGTGGGTAGGTCACGCGTGCTGTACGGAATCTGCCGCTGCACGATTAAGATGTTATTTTTTTCAACAAT